GCCAGACAGTCCAGTTTCTCCCCGTATGAGTCTGGGTCCCCAGAGACTCGCCCAGAACTGGAGTTCAGAGCAGTCGGGAGCTTGTGACTCCCTTCCGATTGAAAAAGACAACCGTGTCCTCAGTTGCCGGCCCTTTCCACGTGCGCCTCCGTACCTCTGCACTTTACTTCCGCACCTCCTCTGAGTCTCAGTGTGCTTTTCTCTTTCCTTCTAGTTGCAGAATTTCCACTTAGCCAGCCTTCCTGTAGTTCTGGATGATGTCTGTTTTGTCTTTTCGTTGCAGTTTTGAAGTGGTTGTGGGAGGCAGTAATTTCAGGTGTTTACCTATGCCACCATCTTGGTTTCGTTCTAGAATTTTTTTATCATGGCCCATGCACGTGTTAAACCTCTAAAGTGGTTGCCTCGTTTTGTACTCCCAGGAGAATGCTGCTTGTTCCAAATCTTTGCCAGTACTTGGTATTTTTTGTCTTTTCCATTTTAGCTATGCTGTTAGGTATAAAACAATATTACATTGATAATAATAATAAAAAAACAATATTACATTGTAGTTTTAGCTTTTATTTCCCTGATCTCTTGTAATACTGAGCAACTTTTCATAAGTTTATTGACGATTTGGGTCTCCTCTTTTTTGACATGCCTGGTGCAATTTAGTTTTACATTTTAAAATAATTTTTAAAATATGTTTGGCTAGCCAGTAGGTCTCATTTCTCATCCTTCTGTCCCTTCCCTTCTCTTTATCCTTGTAAAAAATTTTCTTGGCTCTTCTTTTGCCTGTTACTTTTTCCCCTAAAAAAATAGACCTTAAAATTAGTAACCCCAACTTTTCTAGAATTTTTAATGAATTTGCATGTAACCTATTTTGAGAAAAATTGTCATCTAAATTGAAAAACGTGATAAATATTAAACCCTCCCAGTTTTTTGCCCAACAGATTGGTTATCTCCATATTTAAGACTAGTTTTTGTTTCATTTTTGACAAGTGCTTATTAGAAGTGAAAAATCTTTTAATATGCATTTTAAGACCTACAGCCCCCTTTTTAAAAATGTAAATGTTTTTCAGGTTCTTGATCAATATGAAGGAGAAGGATTTCAATTCCTGGCGAAGGTGTTTAATTCTTCACATTCCTTCTTAGAAGACTTGACTGGTCTTACATTACTGCATCAAGAGACCCAAGCTGCTGAGGTAAGAATAAAACAAGCTTTATGTGCTCTGAACTGATGTATTTGAATCTTATTTGGTATTTAGATTTATAGAAAAGAAAGAAAGCAGTTAATTATGATTTTTCCCCCTTAGAACAAACCCATTACAGTTGCTGGATGCTGATGTGTGCAGATTGTTGTGTAGTAGGTGTCAAATTCAAAAAATTGCTGATAAGGGAAGTACAGGTTATTGATTCCTAAGCACCTGTTTCTTGCTGAAAATCAGTTCTCATGTCCATACATCAAAATGCAAGTCAGGGAAGACATTGGACTCTGCACTGTTCTGCAAAGAGAACATTCCTGGCTTTTATTTCACAATTGATCAGTGTTTGTAGACCATTGAACCCTACCATGAAATGGCTTTCTTGGTTACAACCTTAGAGAGTTACGTTTAGCTTGTCAGTTTGAATATTTTGCAGATCTTAATTTCCTGTGTCACTATAATCATGTGGGGTTTTTTTAAGACTGGGATTCAACATATAGTTATCTTGTTTTTTTCCAAATGCTCACTGTTCTTAGAAAAGGTCACGCGGTATATAGTGTGGAGCCATTCGTGTCACTTGGCAAAATGGGCACCTTCTCAACATGGTTGAATGATATTAAATCAACATCTTTCTATTCTGTTACCTGGGTGAAAAAGCTCTAAGGAAAAATGTGACCTGCCATAGCATTTCCACAAGCAACATAAGGAAAACCTTGAGTGCCTGTGTCCTGCAAAGTTGCCATTAGTCCTATAGTTTGATTCAGTGATTACCGCCCCACCGCCACCCCTTCCTGGGGTTGTGTAGTCTCACCATTGGGGAAGGCCTCACCGTCAGTGAGTAGATGATCAAGCCCAATATTGGGCCAGCTGGTGATAAAAAGGCTACTGTTTGGAAGATTGGAGCTAGCACTGGTATAGGGAAACCATGTGAAAATACCAGTCAAATCCTTTGAAGCTTCTAACAGATTGGGATGAGAATTTTAAGCACACCAGAGACGAAAGAATACATCTCTAGTGCTAGACTTAGAACTGAAACTGGTTCTTCTTTAACTTGCTTTGGCTCTGTTGTCCTGGGCATTCAACAGATACAGTATTCCACCGATGACCAGTAGTTAGACCCACATAGGGTCTCTTAGTTTCAGAAGATAAATGGCATCTTGGCAGGACTTTAAGAGACTTTCAGATTTTCCCCAGAATTTTGACTGGGTTCCCAGAGAGAGTTCAGAACTTTATGTTGATCATAGCTACCATATTGTCTTTGAGCAGCAGTATACTGCCTGATAATAAGAGGAAAATAACTTACAGGTCTTTTCAACCATACAATCATTTGACTAGTTGGTTGGGGGAATTTTTCCAGCCAGCTAGAAATAATTCACATACTTTTCTTTAGTTGGCTAGAAGAATTGAAACTTGAAATTGACTCCATATTTCACTCTTTAAAACAGAGCAGATGTTAGAATAATGGGCGCATTTCTTGATTAACCCTGACTATCTTGAATTTTAGTTGGTCAAATATTAACAGCCTTTTAAAAGACCCTGGAATGTGAAGACAGCAATAGGTACTAAAGAGATGGTGGGGCAGGGATTCATCTACAAGTCTGATTTTTCTTTTTGAACTTTTCCTCCATTAAATATATTTATAGTTTTGGAACCATAAGCCACACATCAAATTTTTTATTAAAGATGGTAAACTGGTTGGCCTATGAGCCAGATATGGCTTGCAGGTGTGTTTTGTTTGGCCTGCTCAATGTGTTAAATTCTGAATAAAGCCAACATTTTAAAATTATGGGTTTTACATAAAAATCAGAATTTTCCCATTTATGACTTCTTTGAAAAATCAGATCTGGCAACGCCAGGCCTACATTCCTAAATAGTGATGGTTTTCTAGAGCCAAGAAGCAAATTGTATAGATAAATAATGTACTTGATATGAAATTTAAAGATATAGAAAATATTCTATGTGGAAGGGAAATCTTGTACACTTTTCCCTTACCACCCAGTTTCCTTAGTGGAGACACATTGTTGTTAGTTTCTTGCCCAAAGGTATTAACATATTATTTATATTTTTTTATTTCTATTTTAGTTGACATTTAGTATATTTTACAATAGTTTCAGGTGTACAGCATAGTGGTTAGATAATTATATAGTTTATGAGCCAATGCCCCCAATAATTTAGTATCTACTTGGTACCATACATAGTTATTACAGTATTACAAATTGTACTTAATTCTTCCACCTTTTTTTACCCTGTCCCTCAACTCCCCTCCCATCTGGCAACCCTCAGTTTGTTCTCTGCATCTATAAGTCTTTCTGTTTTATTTGTTTATTTTGTTCTATAGATTCCACTTATAATTGAAATCATATTTGTCTTTGTCTGACTTGTTTCACTTAGCATAATACCCTCTAGGTTCATCCATGTCATCACAAATAGTAAGATTTCATTCTTTTCTATGACTGAGTAATATTCCGTTGTATATATGTACCACATCTTCTTTATCCACTCATCTATGGGTTGCTTCCACATCTTGGCTATTGTAAATAATGCTGTAATGAACAAAAGGTGCATATATTCTTTCAAATTAGTGTTTTTAATTTATTTGGATATATGCTTAGAAGTGAAATTGCTGGATCATAATGTAATTCTCTTTTTTATTTTTTGAGGTAATTCCATACTGTTTTACACAGCAGCTGACACCAATGTTCAGTCCCACCAACAGTGGATGAGGGTTCACTTTCCTCCACATCCTCACCAACACCTGTTTGTTGGTTTATTGATGGTAGCCATTCTGTAAAATGTGAGGTGATATATCATTCTGGTTTTAATGTGCATTTTTTTCTGATGATTATTGATGTTGAGCATCTTTTCATATGTCTGTTGGCCATCTATGAGTCCTCTTTGGAGAAGTATCTATTCAGGTCCTTTGCCCATTTTTTAATTGGGTTGTTTGGTGGTTTTGTGTGCATGTGTTGACTTATATGAGTTCTTTACAAATTTTGGATATTAACCTCTTATTGGATGTCTTCTCCCATTCGGTAGTTTGTCTTTTCTAGTTTGATGTAGTCCTATTTTTAAATTTTGTTTCCCATACTTAAGATATATCAGAAGAAATATTGCTAAGAAAAATGTTAGCGATTTTACTGCCTGTGTTTTTCTTTTAGGAGTTTTATGTTTTCTGGTCTTACAATTAAGTCTTTAATCTACTTTGAGTTTATGGTATAAGAAGGTGGTCTAGTTTAGTTTTTTGCATATATCTGTCCAATTTTTACAGCACCATTTATTGAATAGACTGTCTACACCCTGTTGTATGATCTTGTCTTCTTTGTCATAGATTAATTGACCACATAGGTGTGGGTTTATTTCTGGGCTCTCTATTCTGTTCTCAAAGGTATTTAGGTGATGCTCTCCATTTAGATGATGCTTTTTAGTTGATGATCCTTATAACTATTGGTGTTTGCAGGCCCTATCTTAGAAAAGAATCATTACTTTTCTTAAAAAGCTCTAAATAGGACTGTTTTAAGATAATGCTCACTAGACAACCTTATAAAAGAAAAAAGACATTTTCCTGACTGCATTAATTACATTACTGTGAAAAACATATGTAAATGAATAAATAAGTATATCAAAAAATACACACATATCTGTGTAAAAGGTTGTGTTTTGACTTAAGTATCTGATTCCCAGTACATTTGTAAATGTTCAGTAATAACAGTATAAAATTCTGCATCCCATATAGAAAGATACCAACTTATTTATTTTAGCAATGCAGTGAAGAATGCCCAATTAATTGTCATCTTAGGATAACTGTTTTCATGCATCAACATTGGAATTGCAAAAGGTTCAACCAGATAAATATCTATGACAGTATGATTTTATACATTACTTATAAAATGTATATTTATACAAATACTGTTTTTTAAAAAGAGAAGTACTGAACAGCTTTTGAAAATTGGATAGCAAGGCACTATGCTAGTGACTGAATACAGAAGTTAATGAGATGAGCTCATGGTCTAGTGTGAGAAACAGAGACATAAACAGGGCACTCTAATATCTTTAAAAAATATTTTACTCATTTATATATTAAGTGCTGAGAGAGCAGTTACTCCTGCCTGAGGGAGTAAGGATGTCAAGGAAAGCTTCACACAGAAGGGAAAAAATATTTCAGTTAGGTTTTTTAAAACTAATAATTAATTCTTTTAATTGAGGTATAATTCACATATTATATTAGTTTTGGGTGTCCAGTATAATTAATGATTTTGCTCTTTGTACATATTGCAAAATGATCACCACGATAAGTGTAGTTAATATCCATCACAGTTAGTTTTAAAGGTTAAGTAGGCTATCTTTAAAAATAAAAGTTGAATTTGGCGAGGGAAAGGGTAGGAGTTGGGGGAGGGCATTCTAGGCTGAATAAATTATCTCAGAGGCTGACTCTTTAGTGTGTTACTCAGAATCATGAGCATGTGGCTGGAGCCAGAGTTTCCTGAAATCAGATAAGGTTGTTTTTTTATTAATAACAGCTTTATTGAGTTATAATTCACATACTATGAAATTCATCCTTTTAAAGTGTACAGTTCAGTGGGTTTTTTAGTATACTGGTATTCACAGAGTTGTGCTACTATTACTGCTAAGTTTAGAACATTTTCATCACACCCAAAAGAACTGTACCATTAAGCAGTCACTCCTCATTCCCCCCTCTATGTAGGTCTGGCAGCCACTACTCTACTTTCTGTTTCTATAGATTTGCCTATTCTGGACATATCATGTAAATGGAATCTCACAATATATGGCCTTTTGTATTTGGTGTCTTTAACTTAGCATGATGTTTTCAGAGTTCATCCATGTTGTGGCAAGATAATTCTTTTTTAGTTAAAGGAAAAAAACTTTTGAAGCTATTAAACTTTTCCATATCCTTTAATATCTGTGGTCTGTCTTCCAAACTATAGCCCATTTAGTTTGGAGGAATGTATAACTGATCCTACTAGAGACTACAAATCCATTTATTTTTATAGAAGGGCCAGAGAGATAATGGATTGGAAGATATATTTAAGACAGAATCATCCAGATCTGCACCCATTTTTTGCACCCATCCTCCTTCCATCATCCAAAAACAATTGCCATTATTTTAGTCTAGGACTAGGTTACTAATATGATAATAGTGCTGTTGAGATTGACAAATCACCAGGTTGGTTTGTGTTGCAAGAGGGCTGGAAGTATAAGGTGCAGAGTAGTGAGTTGCCAGATTTACAAAGATGAGTTTGTTTGGGGTAATGATGAAATTGAGGGAATTGAATAAATGAATGAAAATGACTGGATGGTATTAGAGATAGGATGAAGATAGAACTTAAAGAACAGAATTGGTAGATTGATTTTGCAGATAAAGGAAAATTATGCTGTTTCATTTAGTGAAATGAGGAGAAGCTGTTGAGCTAAGATGCAATAAGAATATTTAAATGAGAAATGTGTGTGGTAGAATTTTATCTCAAGTTGTAGATCAAAAAACAAAAAATTAAAAATAGCCCTGGCTGGTGCGTCTCAGTTGGTTGAGTGTCCTCCCATGCACCACGGAGTCTCTGGTTTGATTTCCGGTCACCAGACATGTCCAGGTTGCAAGCTCAGTCCCTAGTAGGTGGTGTGCAGGAGGCAGCTTATTGATGTTTTTCACAATGATGTTTCTCTCTTTCCCTCTCCCTTCCTCTCTTTCTAAAAATCAATAAAAACATATAGTTAAAAAAATATTTTTAAAAAATTAAAAATACCTCATAAATGTTTTTTTTCTAATGTTATATTTCATAAAGTAGGGGTCTTACACAGAGACCTCTTTGTCTATCATTCATCTAGCTGCCAAATTATAGTTCCATTCTACCCATGAGGTATTGGGAAGCCCCACAGAGGGAAAAGGGCCCACTCAGCTTTTTACTCTCTTAAAATGTTGCCATCTGAATAGGGAATTTTGCATGAAGTTCTGGCTATTACTTTCAAGACCTGTAGAGAGAATGGGTTTGAATATTTGGAGATTGAGTCCAATTTCCTATTGCTCCTAGACATCTGTTTATCCCCATTGGAACCAAAGAAAATGGCTTTAAAGTTGATGAAGCACAAGATACCCAAGTTGTGGAGCTGGTGAAGAACTCACCAAGTACTCTTTAAATTGCTGAATTTGTTAAGAGACTAAATCAGACATATGAATGACTTAGCCATGTTTCCATAAAATTTGCTGTGACTTGCCTTCTTAGGGTTATTTATCATCAACTATCAGTTCACATGTACTGATTTCATTCCAACTGTGGGTTCAGTATTGTGCTGAACGCCAAATAATTTTCAAGCTTCATCTAATTAGAGAGAAAAGACTGTTTCATAAGAGAATTAATAAAGCAAGCTATATTGGCATATCCTTGAGAAATTCAAATTCCAGAATCCCATAACCCAACTTCCCCAAAATACCTCATTCTCATTCTTGACAGTTTGCAAGTTCCATGATTTCAGGATTAATCTTAGGCTCTGTTTCCTTCTTTTGCCTTGACTATAGAATCATATTTAATGTTGTAGCATACAGTTATATTTTTGGGATTATAGTTACAGCATTCTATAATTGTAGAATTAGGGATTAATGAATGATAATTTAAAAAGAAAGTTTAGCGCCAACTTTAACATAGGATGTAAAATCACGAACAGGCTGTCAGAAATGAACAGGCTGAGTCGGTGGGTTGATTGTGAATTAAAACTCGGATTCTGACTCATCTACTATAGAATTCAGGATTCTAGAAAATAAAGTGCCCATTTCTTTCATAGCAGGAAAGTCATAAGAAAAACGTTCCAGTCATGTGATATGACTTCATGGGCATGACAATTTACTATTCAGCAAAGTAAATAGCACCATTAACAAATGTTTCTGCTGGGCCTTTTGCACTTACACTGAGATTTGGCCTCTTCCACTCACAGCTGGTTTTGATTTGGTTCCTGTGGATTATTTGTTTTGTTTTGTTTTGTATTTAACAACAGTCAGATATTTATGTACAGCTTCATCAAGAGCCTCCGATGACAAATAGCCTTTGGAGGCCAGTAGAAGCTGTGGGAAACCCCGTGTCAGCACTTAGACCCGTTTCCAATGGAGAGGAATTGCTCTGTTGACCTACCTAGTCTGCCCATGAATCCAGTTCTCTTTTCCCAGAGCCTTCTGCTAGCCCACGTCCAAGCTGCACTGGCCCATCCTCAGACTGTATCCTCCCTTGATTGTCCCTTATGAAGCAATCCAGCAAAACACAGCCTTGGCCTTCTCTCCTAGATGAAGGGGGAAAAGCAGAAACAGCAAGCAGAAAGCCAGTTAATTCTTAGATTGGAAACTAGAGACTAGTTTTTGAAATAAGGCTTGGCCGTACTCCTTTGTAAAACGAGTCCCTTTTATTTGCTGTCAGAATTATCTACATGGGTTTGAGATGTTTAGATTATTTGGTATTAGGGAAGGATCCAATTGGAGGATAGACGAAGTCTGGGCTGAGTTCCCCACCCTTAAGGAGTCTTGGATAGTATACTCCATGTGGAGGTCTATGGGAGAGAGAAGGGGAGAATCATAAATGCTAAAAGCAATGCTAAGACGGCTAATATTAAGAAATAAACCATGGGAACTGCATCCTCCTTAAATTTTAGTTCTTGTTCTGTTCGTGTTCTTATGAGTACTTGGGTGAATAACTTAAACATTTTTTGTATCCGCTTCCTCACTTACAATAGAGGGATTGAACCATATGTGAAATCCTTTTTAGCTCCTATAA